TGGTTTCCTTTCCTTCTCATGATATGATCATCAGTTTAATGTATCTCATGGGCGAGTTACTTTTTCGTTAAAGGCTTGTAAGTCAAATCCTTTGTATGGCAACAACTTTTCTCTCTTTATCCCGGGCTTGTAAAAAATATCCACATACATGATGTCATGTGAGCTTCCCCCATCAATAAGGATTCTCAATACATTAAAGTTATTTATCGTCACAGTTATAACCCGAGGAAAATTTTTATTCAGGATTCTTCCCAGCTCCGCAATCACGAAACCCGAGGATAGGTCTTTTTGGATTCCCTTATAAGGTTCCCTCTTATTCTTTTTTGATCGCCATTAGCTCGATGATTCTTCTCTTAATGGTCCCCTAGGACAGATTTCTTGGCTAATGAAGACCTCAAATAATGGATGATATGTACTAGCGCTTTCCTTTTTGGTCTTTTTCTTCTTAAGTGTTGTTATCCTTCTTCTTTTTGGTCCCACGGGGGGATCATTTATTGCTTTGTTTCTTTCTCTCTTTGTCATATTTTTTACCGCCCTTCTAGGTGTACTGGGTGAGCCTCCCTTTCTTGAAAATGTCCTCAATCGTTTCCTTCAAATGAACACATTCAATTGTGTTATGGTTATGGCTCGTGTGGAAACGGTAGTACCTGTTTTGTCAAGCTTGGCAAATTCTTGGATCGGGCATGGGTTTCATATCCCAACTTCTTTGAAGTCTACATTACACAATCCTTTAGAATTTTCTCCGGTGAAATGGTCAAGGGAGTATAGGATGAGAACCTAGCACGAAGTCCTCGGTCATTGTCAACTTATTCCGTCTCTTTTTGGATTTTGGTCGTTTCACGGGTATTCTGCTTCCCGACAGTTTTCTACCCCTTCGTCCAAGAGTTCTTTCTCATAGTTGATACAGGGAGGGACTATAATCAAAAAAAATCATTTAAGCTACAAGCCCCATTATAACCATACCTTCTCATTAAACATATAGTATTGTCTTAGTCCCTTTTTAAATATCCAATGCTTTAATTTGTCATTTGTTCCACCCACTTTCACTTCTACTTTGGTGAATGTATTTATGTACTTCAATAGGATTTACTTCTTCTTCTGTTGGATCCTAGTGATGGCGTATACTGTAGTGGGTTTCCGCTTTCGAGAACTAAATTGACCGGAAAAATAGTTGTAAAGCACCTTCTAAGAGTTTATGCTTTTGTTTGGGAGGGCTTGGAACCACACAATTTTGGCTACTTTGAGGGTTAGCACAAACATGTTGCATTTTATAGCACCCAATTATGGTAGTAGTCGGGTATGGTATCCACGTACTTGATATGCTCGTCCAGATCCCCCGAGTCATTGAAGTTGTCTAATTTGGGAGGTTTCTCAAGGGACTTTAATATCCTATTATTGATGATACGCTTCATGAACAAATGAGCAGACATGTATTTTAATAAGATATCAAAGTCCCTTTGGGAAGCATTCTCTTAGAATGTGCATTGGCTGATTGTTGGAGGGATTAGATCTTGTAGAAGATGAGCATGAAGAGAACTCACTAGGATAGAAACGTCTTCGTCCATAGAAAGAAGTTGAGTCTCCCATTTAAGATCGGAAGCATTGGTCGTGGAAGCGATTATACTAGTGGCATTGCATTGTGTGGTTGATCGAGTAGCTTTTGATGTTGTCATTGTTTCAAGAGTTTGATTGGTGATTGGAACAAGGAGAAAAGGAAATTGAAGATTGTTGAGTTGTCGCGAAGAGACAATGGTTTCTTATGGAATTATGTGGGAATCATATGTCGATTGCTACGTAGACGTTATGTTTTTGTTAAGGAATCATAAGTAGTTGATAATATATTGTAGTAAGACTCATATGTGGTATAGTGTCCTTCCGGTATGGCGGAGCGGAATGGACCTACAAGATTAGCGCTACAATACCTAAGTCAGTGAATAAGTGAGAAATAATAAATGTGAGAATGGATAAAATACCTAAGTCTTGGAACTTGAAAGGCTTTATATAAAGAAGGTGGTTAAAACCGCTCACGTTTGATTCGATGACTTGCAAGAGTCATCCTCTGATCAGATATAGTTGTGGAAAATTGGCAAGAGATCACAATTGTGTGCTTCAAACTTAAGTGGAGTCGTATCTATTCCTATGTGTTTTTTCTGTAGCGCTTGCTTTTGAATCTCCACATATGAGTTTTATGAATATACTAGAACAATTTTTATGATATGAAAATTTTATTCTAATCTTGACCGTGAGAGACACAAGTTTAATAACAAAACGAGCGTCTAATATGATTATTTATAGTAAAAGAAATTTATGGAAAAAAAATTAAATTCTCTATAAATTTAATCATCACGGTTGTAAAGAATCCAATATTAAATGAGTGATATGATATTTTAAATGACACATTTCTCATACCAAATGGGAACAGACTTATGCCCACATTTGTGTTTGATTTTTGTGGTATGAGAACTAAATTACAAAGAAAAACACACAAACTATATGATCTAACAAAATTGTTGTTGACTACATTTGCATTAAGTTCCATTTAATATGATTACTTCTATAGTACTCTAATTGGAATTATTTTAAATTAATGAGTATTGTCCTTTCATCTATAGATGTTAACGATGACAATGAAATGGTATTTTTAAATGAGACATATCTTATACCAAATGGGGTCTGTGTGTGTATTTGTTTTTTGTTGTACCAGAAAAAGATTACAAAAGGAAAACACAAAATGTTACAACAAAAATTGGTATTGATCACAATAATAAGTGCCATTTGTAATGACATATGAGGGGCCTAGCTTTAATACTAAAAATAATTGCTAGTGTCACATAATGTAGCTAGTAGCATAGGCAGTTGTTTCTATTAGCAATGATATAATTATTGTTTTTAATTTTGTCACATACTAAAATGAGCTGGTAGAATTATCTAAATTAAATGATTGATTTGAAAACAAGAAAACTACAACTAATCCATGTAGAAAAAGTAGTAAAGGTTTGGAGTTATATGGGCTTAATTAAATCTGCTTAGGTGGCTGCTATGTCAGCCACTATAACTTTATTCATTTGTCTATATTAGTCTTACATATCTCAACCATCAAAATAAATTATTTTTTTTTAAGAATTTTATATCACGTTTATTTTTTCATATTAATGGTTGAGATGTAGAAACTGAAAAAATTGAAAGATTCTTAACATAAAAATTATATTTGCCCAAAATCTAAGCATGAAAACAGTGGAGTGTATCACAAGGTTGCATATACAAAACCTAAGCCCAAATCCCTATTCAATTTCTTAGCATCCTAAATCTTACTTGGCACCCCATGCCCCTTTGTTTTACTTTAATATTCTTTGTGATTCTTTTATGTTTGTAAGAAATTGTGTTTTTTTTATTTTTGGAAATTTTGAAATTTTACTAAATTTTTTAAGAATTTCGCAAATTTTTGCCAGATTTTTGGGTGAATATGAAATTTTACCGAATTTTTAGAAAATTATCGGAATTGAACTACCTAAACTTTTAAATACACTACTGAATTTTTTAAAATCTTGTAAACTTTTACCGAATTTTTCAAATACACTATCGAATTTTTTTAAAAAAGAATAAATTTTTACAAGATATTTTAACAAGTCTGAGTTTTTTTCTAGATTTTTCAAAAAACCTGAGTTTCTATAGGATTTTTCAAAAAAATAATGAGCATTTATCGGTTTTGTAAAAAAAACTATGAGTTTTTTCTGAATTTTTCAAAAATATAACTTTTTTGTCGGATTTTTTAAAATACACTATTAAATTTTTAAGGGATTTTTTAAAATACACTATCAAATTTTCTAAAAGTATGAGTTTTTGTTAGATTTTCAAAATACACCATCATATTTTTCAAAAATATATATGTTTTTGCTGGTTTTTTTGAAAAATCTTTTTTGAAAAATCCGATTGTGCTGGATTTTTTGAAAAATTTCAGTAATGTACTGAATTTTTTTGAAAAACTCAGTAATCTATTGGATTTTTTTTAAAATTCAGTAATATACTAGATTTTTCAAAAAAACGTTAATAGTGATAATAAATCAGATTTTTCAAAAAAATCAAAAATTTACAAAATATATCGAAGTTTCCATTCACAAAAACCTATCAGTTTCTCAATGAAAAGTCAAGTTTTTAGGCCCATAGAATTTGTTTCTCTCTAGTCCGTATCATTTCCCTTTCTTTATGATGCTTACACTTTTCTGATCGGATGAGCAAGATTTCGATCTATACAAATACATCACTTATTCCATAAATAAATAAAAAATCATCTTTTTTTAAATGGTAAGGAATGGAAGGAGTATATGAGAGGATAAAAATTCATAACTGTTAACAATAATACAGCTGCAAGGACCCATTGGTTATAATCATTCTATTCCCCTTTGTTGATTCATCAATTATTTTTCAATACACCTATATTATAATCATTAAATGGAACACTAAAGAGAGCTCAAAAAACAACATGATTACAAGATCTATCATTACAAATTCGCTTGTGAAATGAAGGTAACGAGTGTTCTTGCTTTCCCAAGCCAAGTTCTGCAAGAAAATCTCATTCTCACTCAGCCTTAATTGATAACTCATCAAACCATAGTCAGGCCTTTTCTAAAGCTCTACTTCAACACAGGCACATTAACATTTAGAACCAAAAGCCATAATCTCTAGGTTGACTCATGCACACAAATAAAAGTTACCAGTACCGCAAAGGCCCCGTTTGGCTTCGAATCTCAAGCACACTCTATAAGCACAAATAATGATAGTTATAATTGAATGCAGTAAATTAATGTGATTACTGATTACAGATAGACAGTATTTGATGCATAAACTATTCTAATATAACACAAAATGATGCCATTAAAGAATTAGTGTGTGTAGTATAAAATGCCACTGAGCATTTTCTTCAGTTCCAGAGTCTCACTTTTGTGCAGTAGTAACATTCACATCCTATTTGCACTACAATACAATTGACATACAGCTTTAAATCAAAGTATCCAACATCTACATGCTTGAGCGTCCTGAGGCCCTTCAAACCATCTATCCCATAAGAGGTTTACAGGTGCATGAATTCTGTAATCAAAGAAAAGTGATGATTACTCTCGAAACCTACAATAAATAATCGTAATGAATACAAAGTAAAGATGTAAGTAATAGAAATTACTCTGGGAGTAGTGGATCGGGTCTACTATCCACATTGTGCAGCAATCTGCGCTATGCCAAGTAAAATTGTTTAAGCCTTAAAACATATTGTTGCACAAGACTGACTTATAATGAGATAAGCATTTTGACAACCGAAAGAAAAAAATGCTTGGTGCATTCATCCCCCATGTGGAAAGAAGGGGTCAATGGGCCAACCCAACAAGAATTTTCTATATAAGATGTTTCAAGTAACACCACATAATTCTCTCTTGAACTATAAATAACTATTTTCCAGTATCTTCTTTCACAGAAGAGAGAAACAACTGTTAAGTCGGCACTTACTCTTTGCATATAGCCGACACGTTTTCTGTTTTCTCGAGTTCTTCTAATTCTTCCTGAAAATATTTAGGAAAAGAAAATGATAAGCAATAAATGCAGGAACACAATAATAGAGATGACTGGCTGTTAAAAGCAGTTAATTATAGGCTTAACCTGCAAGAAAACACACAACCATGCAAAATTGCGGAACATAGATTTCAGCAAATAGAAAAGCCAAGCAGCATAACCCCTTACTAAATACTCACATCCATGACAAGAATCAAGAAACACAAATTTATGGGAACTTAATAACTGAAACGCGTGAATTTTTGCTAGGAAGTCAGATAAACACATGACCAATTTAATAACATTAAAGAGATCTCAGAAAACAACATGATTACAAGATCTATCATTACAAATCTACTTGTGAAATGAAGGATTATGAGTGTTCTTGGCTTTCACAAGCCTTACAAGTTCTCGTGCTTAAGTAGGATCGGTCGGCTTGTGAAAGATTATAAAACTAGAATCGTTAGCATGGCACGTAAGATCCTAACGAAGGGGAAAATGGTAATTTCATATATATTATACACACATATACACAAAAACATGGAAATTATAATTGAGGCCCAAAAAAAAGGCCCAAACCGTTTTTGTTTACGATTTAGCTTCAAAAAGCTCGATCTTCACCACACTGGAGATGAAAACAATCTTTCTCTAATCGTAGCACTCTCAGGCATCCTTGGCACATGAGGTCTTACGATCTTATGATCCAACAGTCAATCTTGACTACACTGCACATGACACAAATTATCCTCCACTATAAGTTAGTTTATTTTGAATTTTGCTCTCCTATATTACAACTTTCACTGAAGTTTCTATCAACTGCCTATTTCTTGCAAGAACAAACCATATGTTACAGGATGTGTTTCAACTTTCCAGATATATAATGGAAGAAACTATGTATATCTACTCCAAAGATAAACATACTATAAACAAACCAACCATTACATTAACTTTTTTATCGCATTAACGACAGCAGGAATCAAACGAACTAATATTCCAATATTCCAATAAGCTTAAACAATTAAGACTACGTTTGTTTACACCAATGATATTAAATAGCCATGATAGCAACCCTATATCGCTATAGTGTAGTGGAATTTGGACAAATCGCTATTATTCTACGATAATAGTGCCACTATAGAGAGCACTATTTAGTATGAAAAGTTGTTATATGCTATTTCCCGCTTTTCACAATTGACTACACTGGTTTACACGGCAATCCACTACATCACCGTACATTTACCAACTCCTACAATTAAAAATTAAAAACTCATATGGTACAGGATGTGTTTCAACTTTCCAGATATATAACGGAAGCAGCTATGCATATCTACTCCGAAGATTCACAGGCTATAATTTAACCAACTATTACATCAACATTTTTATCGCATTAATGACAACAGAAATTGAACGAACTCTAGACCACATGGCAGCAAAAGAAACTACAATATCACGTCCGCAACAATCAACCAATATTCCAATAAGCTCGAACTATTAAGCCTATGTTTGTTTACACCAATGTTATTAAATAGCCATTATAGCAGCCCTAAACTGCTATAGCGTAGTGAAATTTGGACAAACCGCTATTATCCAATAGCGACACTAGCACTCTTGTTGCATAGCAGCAGAATTTTAGTTTTTAACAATATGCTATATTTCCCGCTATCCGCAATTGACAACACTGGTTTACGCGAAAATCAACTACATCGCCGCACATTTACTAACTACTACAATTCGGAGTATCTGCATCCACCCCCGTGTAACCAAACAAAAACACATGCATTATGCATCAAAATTAGGTTCTTCTCAACTTCATAAACACACATTGTTTTCTAATTCAGCAATACAATAGAACTAGATCATTATTAATTCAATTAGGGCAACAGCATTAAAAATGTATCATAACAAAAGTAGAAAATTAAACACCCTAAGAAATTCACGAAAGCGATAAAATCAAAAATCACAAGATCTAACAAACCTGAAGAAACTTAGTATCTTGTTGAAGACGCTTCAATTCAGCAAGAATTCGATGTTTGCCTCTTTTATCCGTCGTAGCTCCTTCAACTGCAGCTGAAAAAACAAGGGTTTCTTTCTCCTCATCCGCGGACGACGCCGTTTCAGACGCCATAACAAACTATAAAGTTTCAAGAGTTTTCATACAAGCTATTTTGTGGTGCAGATCTGAGAGTATTCAGAAAGAATTCAGCATTAGCGTGTAGTGGATAGAAATTAGAAAAGAAAATGAAGCTGTTTTGTTCAGTCACGGTTGTTTCGAGACGAGAATGCTTTGCTTTCCAATTTTATTCTTCAAAAAGGGACTTTTCTTTCTTTCTTTTTTCTCTTTTTAGTTGTGCCCTACGTTGCGGTGCGCATTCGTCTAAATTCAATTTCAAATTATGGGTGTACTTCAAGCTGCGCTTTTTCTTTTTCTTTTCTTTCTTTTTTTTTCAATTTACTAGAAGAGCTAGCTAGACATGGATTACTAGTTAGTTTAATTAATTAGTTTATTATGGAATGTGATGTGACTTTTTTAAATAATCTTTTATAAAATTTAAAATTTATCATTTTTTTTTGGATAAAATATTTTTTTTATTCTTTAACTTTATTTCGAAATTCAGTTTGGTTCATTAACTTTAAAAAATGACAAGTTGGTCATTTAACTTTTAAAATGGTGTCACTTGAGTCCTCACCGTTTCTTGTCCTCAAACATCTGTTTATTGTTAATACGTGGCAGATGACTTGACAAGATAACTCCATCTTCTTGTTCCATTCTTGTTCCCTTCTCGTTCCCAATTTTTTCAATTTCAAAAATCATAGTTAGGGCAATTCTCTTCTCTTCTCTTCAAATTCGTTTTCATTCCATCCGAAATCAGACTTAGGATTTTTGCAAGCATGAAATCAGGTGGTTCATCGTCGATGTCGAAACAGAAAAACTCATAAAGGGAAGATTCGAACGTTTGTAGTAGGTCACGATAGAAGTTCATATGTCATTGTGGAGACATGGTTGTTCTTCAAAGGGCAACTACTGTCAAGAATATGGAAAAAATCACGGGGTTGTCCAAATTATAAGGTATGCAAGCTTTTTAATTTCTTAATAATTTCTGTTTAAGTTTCATTTTGTATGTTTATTTGACCTTTAAACAATGAAAATTTTAGGGAGCTATACAAGCTAGGTGTGATTACTTTGGTTGGTTCTATGAGGATGTGGGTGATGAGAAGTAGAGATTTTGGATGCATAGGTTGGGTGTGGTTACGAAGGGACTTGCTGAAGCAAAAAAGGACATTGAAGAAGTCACAATGTTGAATGAAAAATTAGGGAAAACGTTGATGAATCTTGAAAGTGAAATGAAGAATATCATGAAGCGGAAAAATCTTAAGAATTTTTTTTTGTATTATTATCATTGTATTAGTTTTTATAATGAGTTAGGGTATTATAAAGAATAGGTTAAGGTTTGTTTGTAAGAGTTATGTAAAAGTTCTGTTAAAGTTTGTCTATAACTGTTGGATTGTATCAGTTGAATACGAATGCAATATTTGGATTGAATTTGTATAAGTTGAATATGTTTGCAATATTTGGTCTGTTAAGAGAAGTTAAATATCACATAATTTTGAGAATGACCTGTAATGATTTCTAGCAGAATTTGTATAAATTTTCAATACATAACCTAATACATTGGTTTATACCATAAATGGTCTCTACCATAAAGTTGAATATGTTTGATATGTTAAGAGAAGTTAAATATTGACAAATAATTTTGAGAATGACCTATAATGGTCTCTAGCAGAATTTGTATCAGTTTTCAACATAGAATCTAGCAATATTTAGTCTGTTAAGAGAAGTTTAATATTCAACACATAATTTTTGACACATATGTTCCATTCCATAACAGATACATAACTTCTGTTAATTTTTTATAGTAGTTCCATAACAGACATATAACCTGATACATATGTTCCACAAAATACATAAATTGGTTCCATAACATGACAGCAGTTCCAAAAATCCCAAAATACATAAATTGGTTCCTAATTAAACATGACAGCAGTTCCAAAAAAACACAAAATACATAAACTCATAGCCTAATTATATCTAGAGGTTCTTATTTGGTGTCGTCCTCTTAGTTGGAGTAGTCCTCCTTGTTACTAGGCCAACAACATTCTTGGCAGCACTCAACCTAGTTGTAGGCCCAGGTGGTACAAAAGGTTTTATTGCCTTCTTAACAGGCAGCTTTTGTGCCTTGCCCTTAGCAGATCCATGAGTCTTCTGAGTAGCATTTCCCTTGGAAGTCTGAGATGCCTTGCTTGATTGTTGAGTAGCTTTTACTTTAGAAGTTTGAGATGCTTGGCCTGATTGTTGAGTAGCATACGTTGGAGTCTAAGATGGTTGGCCTGATTGTTGAACAACATGTGTTGGAGTCTGAGATGGTTGGCCTGATTGTTGAGCAGCCTGTGTTGTTGTATCCTTACAAGTAGACTTGTAGTTTCCTGCTTTCTTAAACCTACTACACTTCACCATGAAACCTATTCTTCTAATTTTGCGATCAGACCCATTAATTTATCCTTATCCAAGATTCCTCCTCTTTTTTGGTTTACCAGGCGTCTTCCTAAACTTTGGTGGTTACACATTTAGATATGGTATCTTCACCCACAAGTTTGATCCATTTACAGGGTAGATCACATGCTTATAAACTTATTTGTACCTTGAAACCCTATAATACTCTGGAATGTAACTATCAATTTTGAAGTTCCTACTCTTCATAGCAGACAAAGCATGAACACATGGGAGTCTTGTGAGTTCCCATCTTCTACATGAACATATATGATATTTTAGGTTTACAACAAATTTATCAGCTTGATTTTCCAAGTGCCTTACTTCAAATATATGTTCATCAGACATTCTAAAGTAATAAACAAAGAGAATATATGAGTCATATAATGTTAGCAACTAAGTAATAATGTATGCTTATGTTACATACCTTACAAGCCAGTTGTTGGTGTATGTGTTTGTGACATCAATTTTCTTTCTAATATTAGGCAATATGTCATTGTCATCCAAAGTACCAAATCTCATTCTCTTAGTTGCCCATCTCTCCATCATGTATATTTTGATGTCTTCCAATATAGTGATTAGTGGTTTTTCCCTTGCATCAAGGATGACACTATTAAAGGATTCAGACATGTTGTTGAGAACATCATCACATTTGTTAGTGGTTTTAAAGTAAGATCTACTACAAAACCTTGGCGGGGTCTTCATCATATGTTTAAATGCTTCTTCATTGATGGTCTTCATTCCCTTCATCTCTCTTTCCCATGTTTGTGGGTATGTTGACTTGGCAGCCTTCCGTATAATGTCCTTCAACATCTTTTCAGGAATCATCTTTCTAAAATTGTTATAGAGACGCCTAACACAAAACCTGTGTTCCACACTTGGCAATAGCTTATCCATGGTAGGTAGCAGGCCCTGCAAGAGAGAAAATAATAGCATAACATAATTTGTTTACAAAACAAAAAAATAAAATAGCATAACAATAATTGAATACTTGCCTTTTGCTGGTCTAAAATGAATGTGTATGCCAGACATTGATCTTTGCCTCCAAGGTCATTAATTAATAGCTCTAAAAACCAAGTTCATATATCATTATTTTCACCCTCCACAACTGCATATGCTATGGGAAGCATCTGATCATTAAGATCCCTCCCTATGGCAGGCAGAATTTGCCCTCCATATAGCCCTTTTAGAAAGCACCCATCGAGACCTATCACATGTCTGCACAACCTAAAGCTTTCCTTACATGTAGTATAGCATATGTAAAGCCTCCTAAAATATGGCTTGTGATCCTTAACACCTTATTGTACAGGATCAACATGGATCTTAACTATTGACTCTGGATTGGCTCTTAACAGTTCATGACAACAGTCATAGACTCTTGTGTAATCTCCCAAAAAAGAACCATCAACATAGTCTCTAGTTGCAAATCTTACTCTTATTGCTTTGGTTTTGTTGACACCAACATTCCATTTTTTTTAGCCTTCTCCTTTATATCCTTTATGGTCATCCTTGGATTGTTTTTCAAGCTATTCTGAATTCTTTTGCTCAATCACTTTGTACTCATCAACTTCACATTATACTCTTTACTACAACTGTGTTTGTCAATTACTTTCCTGAGTTGCCAAGAGTATTCATTTGACAACTTGCTACAATAAGCTTCCCACTCACAACCAACTTTACATCTAACCCTTACCCTAACTTTGTCATTTTTTACAAACCTTAAGTCTCTACCATTTTGCATAGCATAGGATGTTATTGCCTCCTTAAAATCACCCTTTGAACTAAAAAAAACATTTCCACATCCCACTTGTAATTTGACATGTCCTTTGGCTGCCTGAAAATTGGATTTTTTTTCTTGGAACTCCACTACTATCATCACTATCACATCCACTTTGCATGTCTCCAATGTCATTGTCACTCCATTTATCTTCTACATACTTTTCTTTATGTTTTTTTTATTTTTCCATTACCCTCACTTTCATACCCAATTAGGTTAGTAAGTTCATATTCCTCAATGTCATCATACCCATCAAACTCATCCTCAAAACCCACTTCAAGAGCACTATCATAATTGTAGTTTTCATCTTCACTATCATTAGAACTTAAGTCATCATTCATTACACCAACTTTACCTTGTTCAACTCCAGCATTTACTTTTTCAACTCCAACATTACATTCCTCCACTACAGGATTAACTTGTTCAATTCCAACATTACCTTCCCCCAACCCAACAGTGGCATGTTCAACTCCCACATTACCTTTCTCCAACCTAACAGGGGCTTGTTCAACTCCAACAACTTCATCATGCAGTTTACTAAGTAACTCATCCACCTCATCTACAATTTCAACAGGCCCCTCATCAACATTATCAACAACAACATCACAATAGTCAAGTTGAGACAAGGTGTGTTGAATGTAAATATCAACACTTTGGTGCACCCTATAAAGATTTGCAATTTCTAAAGCACACTTGTCATCAACAAGTGCATTCATCCCAAATTATGGGTCCTTGTAATATATTGTCTCATACTCCCTATAACCCAAGTCTTTCAATACACCAACTAGCTCAAAATAACTTC